GGGGCCCGCGGGAGCTCAGCAGCAAAGCTTTTTCCTTACGGTGGGGGAACCCCTTTATTTATTTATTTTTAAAGGAAAATATCTGTCTGACTGGGGGGAAACCACTTTTCTTTTTTAATGACTCTTCTAGATTAAAAATTTAGATCAGAAATGCAACAACCTCAGTTTATTCAAAAGAAACCCAAAGAGGGTTTTTCTAAACTTCCAATATTTTATTTTCTCTTTGCAATAAAGTGCAGGAGAAGAATTTTGAGGGTTTATTTAATGCGAGGGTGTGTGTACTGAGCAACAGAGCTCCAGGTCAGTCTGCCCATGAGCGTCTCAGAGATGGGGAGGTGGGTGGGAAAGGAAGATGTGGAGATACCTCACGGTAAGGTTTTTAACTGCTGTGTGAGCGGAAGACCTGCTTTTCAGGGAACTGGCATAAATGACAGAAAGAAGAAAGGTGAATTGAAGGCAATCTCATTAATAAATACATCAACCAATCTCTCCTTCCCCTGGAGAGTGACTGATAGGGCATAGTGACTGACAGGGCATGGAGCCCTATGGCAGAATGCCTGCAGGAGCAGCATTACCAAAACCTCTCTTCTCTCCCCCTGCAAGACCTGCTGAGACTAATAATTGCTGTGCAGATGTCCCTGCCATCACTTGCTGCTGGGTTCAGCATTTCCTTGCCTCCTTTAAATGATGCCAGTAGTGGCGGGGAGACAAGACCCCTCGCTGCTCTTGAAGAGCCACGAAGCGGTTGGGTTTCCTTCTGCTGCTTCTCCTGCATCAACGCCTGGAGTGGGTTTGGGACCGAGTCATCTCGTTTTCCTCCTTTGCTGTCAGCAGCCGATGTGAAACCCTGTTCCCACTTGGAGGTTTTTCCGTGTGGAGGGGAGGGGGCTGGGAGATATCCTCTCAAAAATGTTAATACCCGCTTGTCGGTGCAGGGATTTCTCAGGTCTGCAAAGCCCTGGCAGGTTCAGGAGTTCACTGGCAAACCTGGTAGTCGGCGAGGTGTCCCTTCAGCATCACGTGAAACGGCTTCCCAGGCTGGGCGCCGAGGGGAGCGGGGTCACAGAGATGGGGGGAAGAAACCCACCCCCGCTGAGCCCCCAGCCCTGCGGCTCCTGGGGAGGGGGTCACGGTGGAGGGCCAGGCAGCAGAGACCTGGGGAGCAACACGGGGACCACCACAGCGCAGAAAGCATCCTCCTGCTTGGGGAGGCAGGGAGCTCCTTCCTCAGAGATGGGGCCAGGTGAGGAGAGATTTTT